GAGAGCATATACGAGTATATATTCCAGTATGTATTCCAAACATTGTGAGCTCTAATTGAAAACGAATTCCTTTCTGGGGTTGGAGCTGCCAGAGAGACTTTTCCTTTTGCAGTTTTCTCCTTACGCAGTAACTTTCCTCACGCGCTGCCCTGCCTGTTGATTTCTGTGAAGTTTTCAGCGGAAAGTCGTCCGGGATTTGGTGCGTTTAGGTGCGAAGAGTTGCCAAAGAGCTTGTCATAAATTATAAAAGGCGTAAAGTCTTTTGCCGCTCTCTGCATGTGCCTCGGGGGCTTCATTTGGGCTGCTGCTAAGCCTCCACCAGCTGCTCATCACTCTCCCGAACTCTAGTCAAAGGTAAACCATGGAATTGTTAAGCGAGAAGTGAGAAAATCTTAAACGAACTTCAATCCAGCGGAAGCCTTTCAATATTCCAATCACTTCCTGCAACTTAAATGCAATGTTAGTGGCTAGGGTATAAGGAATTTTGGTGCCGCAACCTTTGATGCCTGATTTTCGATTAGTCAGTCGCCTGGTGGTCTGGTTTTATTCAAGCCGTCGGCGTTCTCAACAATTTCCCGTGCTTGGGTCAAGAACCTCGGCCTGTGGCCTGAAGCAACAGACCACAAATTACAGGCCCAAAGCCGAAAGGTAAAAGCCAAGAAGGCCATACAGTTAACGCCCACTCCCACGCCCACACACACTCGCACAACCACACAAAAAACGGAGAAAGTGAAGGTGCTATGCGTCATTTCCGTTGTTTTAGGGACTCCTCGTGTTTCGTGGGAATTTCGAGTAAAGTGAAGGAAAGTTTGGAGCAGTTCGCGGGACAATGGAGTGGCGTGCCACTTGGGCTGGGGGTAAATTATGTTCACATGTGGCAAACCATCGAGTGACTTATCACTGTGCTTTACTTATGGTTGTGGCATTTCCACGACATTACCAGAGCTCGAGTAACCATCGATTTTATCCCCTGCTCTCCTGTACACCTCAACCCCACTTAGAGACATCCAATGGGACAACAGCAGACATGGAAACAATACCAAATATTTTTCATATACATATTTCTAGTTCTCTCTGTCTGTCGCTCGATTCGTGTCCTGTGTATTCCCTCGCCTACCCCCCTCCGTGGGCTTATTGCGACAGTTGCCCCTGGTTACACAGGACACACAAACAACACAATGTGGGGCCACATTTTATATTCGAATGTAGTGGTAGTCCCGTCCAAAGGCTTTATTAATCCTTTGTGTATATTTAGCCACCGCTTTTAGCAGTTGATTGCCATGCATCTTTATGTTGATTTACGAGTTTACTCGTACCCATCCAACCATCCTATGCCAAGTGCAAATTGGCTTCACTCTGTTTTGTTCTCTTTTTTTATCGCACCCATAAATTGTGGGGGGTTATTTGGAGTTATGATATGCATAAAATATGCTTATACCATTGAGACCTCATAAAGAAACAACGAGTAGTTCACACAGCCCACACTCTCATATAAGTTCAGGGACTCCAACAGGCATTCCTTGACGTCGTGAAGACTCTCAGCCAGTATCTTTAAACATTTTAGGGTATATTCCTTCCTTAACTACTTCCACTCCTCTGCATTAACTTCCAAAAAAACAAACATTTTTCTTGGTTAATTTCATTTGGAAATGAAATTGCTTGAAATAATTGTATGTCTTCGTGATGTCATTCCATTAAGGACACTCGGCAAGCGAGCCGTGAACTGCTTCTGCATTTTTTATAAGCAATCTCAGCCCCAAATCGAAAATCGAACCAACCAAACACTTGGCAACGATTCGATGTATGTGGGTTGTGTTCCCTGGTCCAACTATTCGGAGCTGCCACCTTGCCACCCAACATAATTAGGGCCAATGACAGTCTTCGTATCGAGCTGCAGCAAATGCAGCTTGAACCAGGAAGGAGGACATTCGGGTGGCCTGTAGGTGTAGCGAGCCACTCAAAGGCTTTGGAGGTTTCGGCGAGTTTCGATTTATTTGAACGCCGTTGCCCGGGCAACAGACGGCCAGGTGGCCCGGTGGCACACGGCACAACAAAACCCCGTCGACAATGGCCATTGAAAAACTTGGAGGTTGGGGTATCCGTGTGCTGCGTCTATGGATGGAGTTCCCTTTTTCAATGGTCATATTTGTGGCAGAAAAGGGGACAATGGAGCGGTCTATGGGCTGCCAAAATGTATCAATGTTCCCATCCGATTCGAAGATCGAGAAAGCCCTAGTTGATGTACATACTTGAAATGTGGGTTTAACTCGGCTTTCAGTTGCTTCAACGCTCTGCTCATTCAGAAGCTAATCTTCCGCTCTTCAAATACTTGAAGCTTTCGCTCATAATTATAGCAGCTTTTGTCCCAAGTTGTTTTGTTTTGTTTTGCCAAGTAAAAAGATTAAATATGTAAATATGTATGTGGTATGCATGATTATGCATATAAGCTCGAACAAAAGCATCATTCTGACTGAGACTGAGACAGTCGATGCGGCTGATCGCTTGTGAGTGCTTCCGTAATAATTATTTTTTCAGCGGAATCCGAAATGAATCGAACAAGTGTTGCTGTGGCTCTTGTGGCGCTCTGGCTACAAATACTCTGTGTGGCCCTAGCCGAAACTCTTGCCTCAACGGAAATGCAAGAGGTAAGCCTTTCACTCTAATCAAATGAAAACTTTAAATCCACAAATCATTAATCTGTATCTTTTATCAGGAGGTCAAATCAACGGTGGCGCTACTTTCGGCAGTTGATAAGATGTTGATTGAGTACGTATTATTTTGACAAGCATTTTTATACATACAAATTTAAATATTCTCTTGACTATACTCTGCTGCAGGCTGGAAGATCGTCGCGAATCGCTCAAGCAGTTGACAAAAGATATTATAGACGAGGATAGAACTTATCCCACATCCTGCCTAATGAGTGGCAAGCATAACGAGACCAGTGTCATCCGAGTACCTGGTCAGGGTAGACTTACTGTTCTGTGCGATTCAGAGCTGGCCGGCCTGGGCTGGATGGTAATTCAGAGACGTCAGGACGGTCTGACCAACTTTTACCGCGACTGGAGCGAGTACAAAGCGGGATTCGGAGAGCTGAGTGGGGATTTCTTCATCGGTCTGGACCGATTGCACGCTCTAACATCGTCGCAACCCTTCGAGCTGTACATCCACATGGAGAGCTTCAATGGCGAAACGAAAATTGCAAAGTTCGATGAATTTGGCATTGGAAATGAATCTGAAGGATTTTCCCTGAAGATTCTTGGTGTCTATACCGGAACGGCTGGCGATTCCCTCACCTACCACAAGGGACAGATGTTTTCCACATTCGATCGAGATAATGACCGTTCAATCAGCATGAAGTGCGCCCAGTACCATCTGTCGGGTTGGTGGTTCAAGTCTTGCACCCAGAGGCAAGTATGAGAGTGTATCAAAATAGATCTAATGACTATCTACGAGTTTGTGGTATGTATATCTTACAGCAATCTGAATGCTCCGTACTTGGACTATCTGCAGAATGTAATACAAATTCCCTCCGACACCACGCGTTACATTAGCTGGAACACATTTGGTGGATCCGGCGGGGTACGACCTCTGAAGTTTGTTCAAATGATGATTCGACCAAAGTTTATATGCCAATAAGAAGCAAATCTTATAATTTGTAATTATTACATGATATATGTATATGGAAAATATCATGATTTTACAGCTCAGAGCCCTTTCGATTGGCTTTCACACCAACCTGTTGTTCCATTTTCTGATTGCGACTGCTAATTGCGGACATTTTTGCAGCTTCTCCTGGATCTACTGGATCTAAGCGTGTTGCAGCACCACTCGCCGCCCTTCCTTTATTTTGTGTTGGTTTTCACTTAACTACGCGAATATCGCGATTTCTATGCGAACGAATGCAGCAAAACAAAAACAGAAACGCGGTATTGCATCTGGCAGAGTGCCATCCGAGCATGCAAAAACGTGAAAAGAATCAGGCGCTCACACAGGCCCGCACACCTGGTTGCCTTGTAGCTGTAGTTTCGGTTGTTGTTCTCTTCTCCCGGCTGCACACGCGACCAAAAACCCTGAAGGGTGTGTGTGAGTGCGACAGAGACAAACAGCCGGCTGTTCTTGCACTTCTCTCTGCTCTCTCTTTCTCTCTTGATGCGATCAATTTATGTTTTTCGTGTTGCTTCCTCTTTCGTTTCTTTTCTATTTCTCTGATTCACCACCTTTGGTGCTAATACTCAATTTCGTTATAGAACCTTCGCGTTCTTTACACTTTTCGCGTGTTGCCAATTTTCCGTGCCAGAGAGAGTGTGATATGTGTCATCTGCATGGAAACGTAAACTTTTGGCGCCTCTTTTGGTAGTGCGCGAGCGAAGAAGTATACCGTGCCGTTGTTGATTTCGAAATGTGCCGTTTGAAAAAGGCAAAACGCTAACAAACGGCAACGAAAGTAAACCCGAACCCGAGGCCAAACGACGAGCGCTGTTGTTGTGGTGGCTGATGCCCCATCGTTTGCGAGAGCGAGGACGAAACGAATCGCTCTCAGCTGAACGCTTCCTGTGCTGCTTTCTCACCCTCTGTTGTTCGCTTTGTTTGTTGTTGGAGGTACAAGGTAAAACAAGTTAAAGGTAAGCCAGTTTGTGAGAGCGTGTCAAGTATGTGAGTTTCGGTACACGGCACGGTGCAAAGCACAGAGAGAGAGTAAGGGTAATTGATTTACCTCACATGTTATATACCTTTTTCGTTCTCTCTCTCTCTCTCCATTTGTCTGCTTGCCTCTTCTCTTTCCTCATTCAACTATGCCAGACAGATGTGCAGCTGGCTCCCCCATGCATTTGGATTTACGCTGTATGTCTCTGTCTGCTCACAGACATTGCATTTGGATTACCGGACACAAACACGTGTAAGTCGACATGCAGATATAGAGGGAGACAGCAAGATCAGCATTTCTCATCTAATCGCAGTTGGCAATTGCGAATAACGTAACAACGAAGAATGTGAAATATTTTGGCAACTCCTGTTGTTTATAATATTAACATTAATCTTAGCCTAAATTGATGGGAACTACAATTAAATAACAAATTCATAAAAATGTGTCTGTAATGTAACTGTTAATTCGATTGAAATTTCCTTGTCATTTATGAGGTGTTAGGGAGGTTGGGTTCCGGCGACTCTCACGATCTCAGAACTTTTACGATTAGTTCTAGAAGAATCTGTGCTTCTTCTTCTTCTTCTCCCCTTCCGATGGCGGCGGTGGATCCACAGACACCTGACGCTTGGGCATCAGCGGCGGTGGCTGAGAGCTGACGTCCACAGTCTGTCCTCCATTAAAATCCATTGGCGACAGTGGCCGTGGTGTACGCAGGATGGATGTCAGGGGCGTCGGACTGGTTCCGGAGCCATTCAAAGCCAGTGATGGCTCCTGGCCATCCTCCTCGATGCGGTCCAGTCGCGAGCCGTGCACCGAAGCAAGCTCCGAGGGGGTCTTCAGCTGGCTGCCGCCCTCGTCCCCGAACTCGCTGGCCATGCCCATGCCGATTGTGGCTCCCACTTTGGCGCTTGCCCGCTTGAAGTGGTCGCTCAGCTTGATCTGCACCACGTTAATGAACATGGAGGTGAGGGCCAGGCCGAAAATCAGGTATATCATGCTGACCATCACATAGAAGGGATTGCTGGGCACCAGGTCGCCAAATCCGATGGTGGACATCGAGATAAAGACATAGTAGAAAGAGTCCAGCAATTCCCAGTCGGACTCTACCATCACGTAGCCGGCCGTGCCCAGCAGGATGTAGGAGATGAGCAGCAGGGAGGCCACCGAAACGGGCAGATTGAACTCATCGTCCACCTCGTAGGTTTCCGGATACGGCGATGTGGGTGTCTCCGGGTGCGATGTGCCCAACGACCTGCCTGCCTCGGCATCTGGCTGTGACTCGGCCTCCTCCTCCGCCGACTTGCCGAAGAACATGCTGGGCCGCCGCATGGCCATGTCGTAGACCGTATTGAAGCCGGTCATCGCGTCACGAATCTGCTGCTGTTTCCGAATGCGGCGGCAGGAGCGAGTGTAGTACACACGGCGCACATAGGCCCAGAGGAACTTGACGCAGCGCGTGAAGAGCTTCCCCAGATCGGCCAACACGATCAGGAACATGGGAATGCCGATGATGGCATAGATGATAGTCAGGGAGCGTCCCAGCCTTGTCTTGGGTGTTATGTGGCCGTAACCTGTGGAAGAGCGAAAGAGTTTAGTCGTATATGACAGGATGTATTTCCGAAGGCTAAATCTAGAATAAACTGTGGAGATAATGGTAAGGAAGGGGTCGCGATACGAGTATTCCTCAGCCAAGGACCTCGTTACCTATGGTCGTGATTACGGTCCAACAGTAGATAAAGCAATTGACAAAGTTCCACGACTTCTGACCCGGATACCGACGCAGACCCATCTCGGCCAGCGTATTCAGCTCGTCCTCGAATTTGCGCAGCTTCTGGCGGGCCATGGACTTCCAGTCATCCTCTCTGGCAAAGACAAAGCAAAAGGGTTCACCACTGTCTTCCACTGGGGGATGGAAGATTTGAGGCCTCAGTACCTCATGTTGTGGCTGACGACCCACAGGTTGTCGATGAAATCCCGCTTGACCTTGCGCACCTCGCACTTGTAGATGTTCTCGGATGCTCCCTCCGTGTAGCGGAACATCAGTCCACCGAAGCCCAGCAGAAGGGCCAGGCAAATGCAGTGGGAGACGCAGGTGTTTCGCAGGAATCGCAGCTCCTCCATGCGCCGCGGATAGTCCATCTTGAGGCGTCGCCACTCGTGCCGTGCCTCCAGCCAGAAGTGAAATACAAACGGACGCGAAATTATCTTGTCGGGCAGCGGGACTGTGGCCAAATCTTGTTCGGCAATCCTTGCCACAGTCTCCGCCTTCTGCTTTCGCTTGAAGAGATTTCTCAGGCGTTGCAGGACCGTCACTTTGGGTTTCACTTTCGGAATGCTGTCTTCACTGATGGAAAATTCTGGTTCTGGTTCTGGTTCTGGCTCTACTATGGGCTCATCCGACGTGATTGGAGCGACAATTTGTTGCACTTCCTTGCCCCTTTCCAGGCTTCCAGATCGCTTGGATCTCAGAGGCCTCTCTAGGCTAGAGCTGCGTTTGCCCTCCACCTTGCGTACTGGCTCCATATCGGCTACACGCAGACTGGCACTTCTTCGCACTCCCTCCCCCGACAGGCTCTGGGCCAAGGCTGCCTCTGCTTTGGCCGCTCTCTCCGCTGCCTCCATGTACTTCTGCATCAGTTCCGATTGCTGCTCCGCCTCCGAGGGCCGCGCTCTAATCGAATCTGTCTGAGACTCCCCCACCTCGACATATTCGTCCTTGCGACTGATCTCCGCCCGTTGCTCGGGCGTCTTGGAGCGCCGTTGTGGACGCACCGGCGACAGCGAGTTGTTCCGATTAACAGATCGTCGTTCCTCCGGCTTGAGGACAGCCAACGGGGGCGGAGGTGGAGCTCCTCGAATGGGCGCAGCCACATAACCCTGTGGCGGCCGTATGGGCCTTTGCGTGGGTATCTCCTCTGCCACATCCGCTTCGGATGAGCTGAACTGCGTGGATGACTCCTCGTAGCCGCTGCTGCGATTCCGACTGCGCACCTGTGGCGCCTCTTTCCGCTGCAGCCGCAGACTGTGTATGAGCCGACGACGCTCCTCCTCGTCCTGAGGCAGCTGAATGCGGTCGCTGAGCTTTCGGTAGTTCTGGAGCAGTCGCTTTCGCTCCTCGTTGTCCAGCTGCTGGCGATGGCGCTGCTTGTGCTCCCGCTTCTCCCGCTCAAAGAGCCGTTTCTCGGCCTCGAACCGCCTCCGCTCGTCCTCGAACCGTTGCAGGTTCTGCTCCAGTCGACTGAGCGTGTCACCACTGATGGGCATCGGGTTTGCGGCTGTGTAGGAGCTGCCCGTGGTCAGCTCACTCTCGCTGGATTCCTCCTTGTGGCGGGGCGAGGACAGGCTGCGGTGCTTGATCAGCTGCACTGCATCCGGACTGCTCAGCTTTTCGGCCTCGCGTGGCTGGGATTGGCTTCTGCTCGCGGAACTGGCAAAAGTCTTGTCCCTGCGACGCAGGATCTTGCTCTCGTGTGCGGACAACGTGCCCGGCGGACGTATCTGCATGCGCACCATCTGCGGAGAGGGATCAGGGCCAGAATCCTCCCCCTCCCGCTGGCGCTGTGTGACGGGTGTCTGCTCGCGCTGACTGCGTCCCAGGCGGCGGCGATGGCGCTGGTGCTGTCTGGCCTCGGCAGCGGCAGCGGCAGCGGCAGCAGCAGCGGCTGCCTGCTCCACGTCCATGTCCAGTGTGTGTGCTACTTTCTCTGTCTATCTGTGGGCTAGCTCTCGCTCAAGTCATCTATTTATAACTGGTTCATATTTTCATTTTCCCCATCCAAAGCACAAATATTCTCGATGTAATTATATCACTTTCGGGTTGCAATTTCTTTTTATAGTGCCTCAATGGATGGGTCGATCCGTGCAAAATGAAAATTGCAGAATCCAATTAATTTGGAATTTTCGATATATGTTTTCTTGGTATGTATTCGACCGTTGAAAATACTTATAAGAATCTATCTATACGGATGATAGATGTGCTCGAATCGTCACACTTTTCGCCTACACTGCCCGCAGACTCGACCACGTCTAGCGTACTGCTGAGAGCATGTGGAGAGCTCAAAATGTTCAAATTGTTGTCTATATTTTTGGTTGGCTGCCACAACAGCTGTTCGGGCCATAGCTACATATTCATAAGTATTCCTGCCTCTCGAAATATTCTTTCTCTCTGAAGAATCTCTCTGAATATAAACGTCTTTCAGGGGGCAAGCTCTTGTCGACTCTGGGAATGCTTCTGCAATTACTCTATATTTATATATCATATCTAGCAAACATCACCCACAAATGCCATGCCATGAGACTATTCAAGCTCGCTGCTATGAAACTACTGAAGCAGGCTGCTATTGCACTCTTCTGGCTGCTGTTTGCGGCTGTTTAAATTGAAGTAAAACGACAAACAGATGGCGCAAGCGACTAAATTAAATTTCCATTTCAATTTAAACCCATAAATTCCCTTCATAAAAGAGGACAAATAAATAATACCTATGGTAGATCGTGTCGAGCTGTTAATATGTACACTCCAAGGGGGAGATAATGTATCAGATTTATCTATGAATTCAACTCATTCGATTTCTAGTGAATTTGTTCTTCGATTTGTTTAGAGTGCCAAAGTTTTGTTTGGCATGGGGGTTTCCTTCCGTTTTCCGTTCGTACTTTAGTTTACAATTCTGGCATATAATATGCTGATCTTTGTAGGGGTCAAGTCTGTGCAGTGCCACAATATAATATATTGAGTTATATTTTCCATGAAATGCCAACTCATATTTGACCAGTACAACTTGTGACGTCATTGTAGCCATTGAACATTTCGCCACTTGGATATATCGGAACGAATTGAATTTTCCGCTAATTTTCAGCAGATACTTTCCAGTGCGCCCCTCGCCGGTTGATGACGGATCGTATTCGCTTTTATGGAATTTCGTCGAGATTTCAGTGTTTGTTTATTATTCGCAATTTCATTCAACGTTTGGGAATGGCTTTCGAGATTTGTTTTCCACTTGGGCATGCACCATAATCGAGATCTGTTTGGCATTTTCGGGCCCCAGTGGCCAAGTCCCAGAAAGTGTTGTTTTAATCGGAGCAGCAACAGTTTTACGATTGCCAGACATGCGTATTGATTTTTATTCGAAATTATGAAGTGTCTGCCCGCTCATTGATCACTTCTGAGGGGTGTTTACATCTCAGGAAGATCGATTGCCGGTTCCAGACATTTACCACTCACGAAACATCTTTCAGCATGAGATATTGAACCAATATTTCTCATGTTGAGTCATAGGTATTTGGTTGGGTAATGCCTATGACATTCGTGTGGCTAAAAATACACCAAAATTTCATGCAGCGATTCTCACGTGTGCCACTGGGCGTCTGATCACAATTTTACACGAGTCTAAGGATAATAATAATGTAGAGGCGGTTTCTTGGATGGCACTTCCACTGACAAGTTTTGTTTACATCTTGTGCCAATTTTGACAAGTTGATTACACTCGAAACACACACTCACAAAACTGTTTCCCGTGTCATCGCTGTGGGGCGAAAATTGCTGCGAATTTGTGTTAATTGCTTTTGCGGCAATGTGGGTGAACAGATTTCCACACTTGCAGATTTATTACTATGCATGTATATCTTTGTCTCTTCTTTTGTTGGAAACTTGTCAAGAGTGGAAACAAGCTGGCAGGTTTATTCACTCGAAATAAGTATTTTAGCGAATGTGAAACAAGCCAGAAAACAGGAGGAACAATAAAGTCGAAACACGAAGCATGTCGATCGCATAAAAGGTGCCATTAAATCATTAACTAACCGCCAAATGACTATGAAGCATAATTCTGCCCCTTGGAAGAATATTCATTCAGAATATTTGCGGCTTATTTGTTTGGTCAAGATATTCGCCCATTTTCAAGGTATATTTACGAGCGGGAAAACTTGTTCCGAAATTAAAAGTGAAATTAAAAGCAAATTTAATTAAGAGCGTGTGCAAGGGGAAATTCTTGTGGAAGCTGCTGCTTATTTATAGTTCCCAATTAAGTCCCAATGACAGTCTTCCAAAGAATTCAGCAGCCTCTCTAGAGACATCTCATAACTGTCTGCACAAGCAGAGACACAAATTTGTTATCTCACAACGCAAAAACATTCGAAACTATTTCCATCTTTTGTGTCACAGATTTGAAGAAAAATATCGCAGTGCTCAAGTATCCACGCACATAAATAGATCTTCTGGTGTACTTATATTCGAGGCGTGGGTGCTTTTGCACCCACAATGGCCTTGGACACCACGCACTCACCTATGGTCGTGTAGATGGTGCAGCTGTAGACCATGGCGTTCCAGAAGGACCAGGGATCCGCCTTCTCCGCCAGTCCGTTCCGCAGCAGTGACTCCACCACGGACGGATGATTGTTCATGATGCGCAGCACTTGGCTATCAAAGTCGGTCTTGGACAACTGAAAGAAGATAGATAGGGTACATTCAGAGATGTGCACAGATGTGTAGATCCAAGCACATTCTTACCGAGTTTAGCTGTGAGTTTCTAGTCATGTCACGCATTTCCTCAAAGAACTGCTTCTGGAGTCCCTGCAGTTCCAGTTTCTCGAGAGTTCCCTGTCGCACTGCAATAAACGGATTCGACACAGCTTTAGACATGCGTTTAAAACGGCCTTGACCCTTGCCAACTGTATGAACTGTATGAATGGAAGTTGGCAGCACTGCCAAACAAACACTTTCGGGAATAAATCATAAGGATTTTCCAGTCGAGATGAGAGTCACGCCTGATGGGAAGACAAAAGCATATCGGAGCATGTTTTTCCATTCCATTGCATTCCATTCCTTTCCAGTCACTGGTCGAAGGTGAGGCTCCTACTTGGGACTCCTCCATCCGCCTGTTAATCATCTTCAATTGGATGTCGAACTTGTTTATACGACACGTTCCTTCTCCTCCCCCTCGCTGCTGTGATTCACACGAATCATTGCCCAATCTACTTGATTGTTCCTTCACCTGTTCGGCGTACGCAGCTACAAATTGGCGGCGCCCGTTCGTTCATCGGTCCAATTTGATGACGGGGGGCGGGGCTGCTGTTTTATGATTACAGTACAGCGAAATCATTCAGCATGTGTGCTGGCAATTGTTTGCTGTTCTGCCTAACAATGGCCAAAGAGCTTGATAAGCAAACAAAGTCGTTTCAGTGCAGCTCCTACTTCCGGACTGATACCTCCCCTCCCCTCCCCTATTCTTTCCCAATTCTCACCTTCGACTGCTTGGAAGATCAGTGCACCGCCCACGCTGTAGAGTGCGAGGACAACTATGAGGAACATGTGGGTGAACCAGCTCCTGGACCACCTGCTGAATTTGTTATACATGCTGTAGGTGAATTTCTCGCCGAAACTCATCCCCGACTTGGTGAGATCGAGAAAGCCCTCGTAGCCCTTGGTCATAAAGTTGCCAGAGCCAAATGGATTCGCCACTGGCGGCCAGTACGGACCCTGTGTGCCATTGCCCGTGTAGTTTGTCTGAGCGGTGTACGGCGGCTGGGCACTGGGCGGCATCGAACCATGGCTCATGCCCATGGCCGATCCGCTGTTCAGATTGTGGATATTTATCCGCGGCGGTCTGTGCGCCCTACGCGACGCAGGCGGCGTGCTGGGCGTGGGGCTCTGTGTCTGAGACATGCTCTAAGGATGCTTAACAACTCTTCTTGGGGTTAATGCTAAATGATTTATTTATCGTTGGTTTGGCGTTGGTTTTGTATTGGGCTTGCACACTCAAATCATTCGACACTTGTTCCACATCATTTCAATTTTCGCTTTCTCTCGGCGATAGAATTATTCCAACAATATTGTATTTATATATTTTGTATTATTTTTAAGATTATAAGTAGAACTGCCGTCGCGAATATTGGGCGCCGCGTATTTATTTTTTTGTATTTTTGTATTTCGAAGGCGGCTACCGCTTCCGTCCGACTCGTTGTTGAATTCAGTGGGGACTAAAGCAGGCAGTCGGCCAACATTAGTGTCGCTTGGGGCTGCTGGCTGCTGCTCTGGGTGTCCGAATCTCCCTCTGCCGACAATGACGACATCGCCAGTCGTGAGCTCACTCGGAGAGGAGAGTCTTTCTGACCAGCGTCGACCAAATCGACGTCTTAGCTGCTGGCTGATCTCCACATGGGGCCTGCCTGCCAGCCGCTTTTTGGCCCGCTGATTGTATTATAATTGAGGTCTGGTCTGGAGATACGAATGTAAGTAACTTGTTTTCCATTGTTAAATGCGTAGTTCAAGCAGACATCCGTCTAAATACTTATTAAATAAGATCCATATACTAGTGTTATTTATACAAATGTTTTCTCATTCGCATTTGTTTGGCCTGACACTAATGAATTTAACATTTTTCCCCCCATAATTTATCATCTTCGCGACTTTTCTGTCGCTTTTTTGTTTCCCAAAAGATTTGCATAAATTTCAACCAACTGTAGCTCTTGGTAGACCCATGGATCGGTTACTCACATACTCATTTGCGTTTTCGGAGAATTCTTTGTAATACTTAGATTTGACCGCTGTCATTTGGCCAACAGTTTTCTGAGAAAAATGGGAACACTCGAGACTTGGCCAAATTAAATAAAATTAAGCGAATGAGAATGTGATCTAAAGATATAAAACAAATGTATAAAGCGGCAATTATTCGGTATTTTTATTTGGATCAATCATCATAGAAAACATTTGAAATATTTCCAAAATTTCTAATATTTAGACTATGCCAAGACCAATAATATTTTCATTTTTCTCCTCTCCTCTGGCAATTTGTTTGCTTTAATTCGGCAGAGCAGCATATTTCTGTTGTTTCTTTTGCAAATGAAATGAATAATTGGGCAGTTTATCAAGAGCAGCTGTTCGCTGTGTTTCCAAAACAGGCCTCGTGGTGTTGGGATTTGCTGGTTTGATATAGATATTTGAAATATAAGTAACTGGCCAAAGAGCAGTTCTATGACCAAGCCCAAATTATATCGTAATTGAAGGACATTTGTTTAAAAAAGGCAACAAACTTCGATTCGAAAGGGCAAAACGGTTACAAGAAGCTTGAGCTCGAACAGCTTTCCCAGCAACATGCATATAGAACCGAGCAACATTTGCAAGTACGAATTCTCAGCAACATGCATCTACAACTGGTCAACACTTGCATCTCAAAATAAAAATGCCAAAAAACGCTAAAAGTTTTATATTAGTGCAGACCTATTTAAAGACTTATATAAAGCCGCGAGTCCAGATGTCCCGCACTGCGAAAATTATTAATTCCTGTAAAACTTCATACCAAATAAAATAGGCCAACGTGAAAGATAAATATAGAGAGCTTGTGTGGCCTGAGAGAAATTCTGGTACGCAGCTCAGGAACGGTATACAATTTGGAATAAACTCTAAAACTCTAAATTGCAAATTCCTTGCATATTGTTTTAGCCAGAAATAAGCTAAGCAGCCAGCACTGTTAACGCGTCATCCCAAAAACTATGTGCCAGTGTGGCCGACGTCTGAAATGTTCTGACAAAATAAACACAAATTAGCTAATTTAATAAAATTAAGTGAAATGGAGGAAAACGAATCCCCATCAGAGCCTAGGGTCTCCACAGAGGCGGAAAATGGTGAGTGAGGCAATCGGCTAATAAATTTCGTATCCGCAAGTAACCAAGAAAACAATCTTGTGCTTCAGGTGACGATGACGCCACAAACCAGCATAAATTAATTCAGCAGACTGAGATGCGTAAAATGCAGAACGAGTTCAATACGCAGCGGGCCAAGATGCGGGAACTGTACATGCAGAAGGAGGCCGAATATGCCCAGAGCATGGCCGAGCGCAAGAAGCTGCAAGAGGAGTTGGACGAGCTCAAGACTCACCTGATGGTGGCGGATCTAAAGTCCGAGAACGAGATGCAGCTGAGGGACATCAAGGCACAGGAGGAGATATCGTCGCTACAGCAGCTAGTGCAGGACACAATCGAAGAGTCGTCCAACTATAAGAGTGAGCTGGAGCACATTAAACTGGAGCTGAGCAAGTACCAACAGCAACAGCAGCAGCAGCAGCAGGTGCAAGTGCAGGTCCAACATCCCCCGGCTGAGTCATCTGGTGGCTTGGCCCCGCAAATGCTGAATCAGGTTAAGAAGACGCTGGGATCTGTGAGGAAGTTGGGCAGCGATTCGCTAAACAGCAGCTTTCAGCAAGAGGATGACGGTCTACGGGGTCCGCAAAACAAGGGAAACGGCAAACAATATGTAAGTACGGTCCAAAGGCTGTCAATCTCTCTCATTCACTTATGTATGTATCTCCTGCAGGCTTCAGAAGATGCGGAAATGTTGCATTCCATCGTGGAGCAGCTGCAGGAGGAGATGAAGGCCTTGAAGGAGAAGTTGCGGGAGCAGGATGAACAACTGCAGTCCAAGTCGAACGCAAAGGTGGCGATAGTCAGCGACACGTGTGGCATGCACAAGTCCACGTCCATGGATGTGGCAGAGTCAAGCTGCGAGTGCTGTAGTGTGGCAGAGAAGACAATTGTGGACTTTAATACGCACATTAAAAAGCAGCAGAAGCAGGTGGATCTGCTGCAGAAGCAACTGGTGGAGGCCCGTGAGACGTTGAGCAAGGAGGCGGCGCTACGCAAGGATCTGGAGGATCAGTGGCAGGAGAAGCGAGAGGCACACAAGAGTGAAGTACAAAGCTTGCGAGACAAGACCGGGGCCAGCGAGCAGCAGCTGCTGGACATGCAACAAAAGTTTCTGGACACCAAGGACTCGGTGATGAGGCAGCTGCAGCGCATCACCGACGATCGGGAGCGTGTCAACAAGCAACTGGAGACACTGCAGGCCGACAACGACTTTCTGTCCGGTCGCTACCTAGCCACCTCCGAAGAGATCGAGAACCAGTACATAAATCTGCCCAACACGGTCGTCGAGCTGCAGGAGCTCATGCTGCGCCAGCAGAGCGAACTGATTCAGGCCCGCGTCAGCAGCGAGTACGAGAAGCAGCGATGTGTGAGCACCTTGGACGAGATTCAAATCCTACGCGCCCAACTGGAGGAGAGCAACAACGAGCGACGGTCCTACAAGCGCCAAACGCAATTAGACATCAAATCACTGCAGTAAGTTCTGCCAGTTCTGCCAAGGCCCTCAAGTGCACTGTTCATATTCGTAATCCATTCGCAGGGACCGTCTGACGGAACATTTGCTGACGGTGCAATCGTACGAGACGACCAAAACCCAACTTGAGCGCAAAGAGGCTGAGCTTAATAAGCAATTATCGGAGAGTCGGGTGGAGATCATTGAGCTGCAGGAAGCCAATGTAAGTAAAAAGCTCAGCAATACAATTAACCACTCAAATACCCCACGTATTTCCAGGAAAAATATGCCAAAACCAATGCGGACTACAAAACAAAGATAAAGACTCTGCAGGAGGAGCTGTCCACCATGGAGACGGTGCAAAAAGATTTTGTGAAACTATCTCAAACCCTTCAAGTGAGCTTCTATATAAAAACACAGATACGTTTATTCACTTACAAAAAATATATACATATAATTTGTTTCAATAGATTTCGTTGGAGGAGCTGCGGCATGCCGATACGGAGGTGCGCTGGCAGGACGATGATGACGTGAACAACTGCCCCACATGCAGCGCATGCTTTACGGTGATGGTGCGCAAGATCCACTGCCGGCATTGCGGCCACATATACTGCGATAAATGTCTAACGAAAACGGTGCCATCGGGACCACGGAAACGGGTCGCCCGAGTCTGTGATATATGTCACACATTGCTTACGCCAAACACCGCTCCCTACTTTAGTCAGGAACAACCGCCGCAGCAGCATCAGAACCAGAATCAAAGCCAGAGTCAGCAGCAGCAGCAGCAGCAGCAGTCCAACTAGGCGACCGTGGGAAGGCGTGGCACAAAGCCTTTATATTTATTGTGTATTATTTACGAGTGTGTGTGAACTATGATTACTATTTAATTGGTACATATATACTTCTGGACCGTGTTGCTCTTTGTTTGTGCTCCGATATTATGATTACCATTACCATTACGATTACGATTACGATTATAGGTCAAACCTTTCCAAGGCATATCCGCTTTCTGTTTTTAGTCTATTCGCCGATGCCAGATAGATGTAATCCTTTTGTGCTCTAAATTAGCTTTTGTCGTGGATAAGTTTTTCATTATTGAATTGAACTCAAAGCAAATATACAAATTATAAACAGAGAATGCATACGCTTCGATTACTTAAACCAACTTTTCCTGCAATAGATTGAGACATACATTTTTTATTTAGTTATAAATGCGAGTGTAGAATGGTTCCATGCAACAAAAATAAGGATGTACGGATTGTAGGTGGTGTTCTTGTTTATTCAAAGAATCGAAGCAAACATTTGCCAATTAGTTAACATATTTGTGTGTTTTTTGTGTCTTCATTTGGTTGCGAGGAGCTAGGATTGGTTTTTTGTTTGTTTTTTAGGTATATTCACTAAATATTCATAATTAATAACAATGTAGGGCATGCCCATATAAATTCTGTATATACAACTCTCACTTCTACTAACAAATAATGACAAAATCTAATACTGCAATCTCCGCGCATTCCGACAAAAAACCACATGTACGGACAATACACACAGACACACGCACACAGATCGAGCGAGGGGGAATCACATTTTCGTTGGGGAAGCAATTACGTAGGGGGTTTTGTTTTTGGCACAAAGCAATATGTCTCTGAAAGTAAAATGTAGATTGGATTGCAATTAGTCTGTCTGTCAGTAGGTAGAATCCATTCGGAATACTCACCTCACCACAGAACACGACCTGCTATCAGAGCCACTATGGTTACAGCTGCCACGCCCACAACACTGATGAGGCTTTTGGTGGTGCCTAAATTGAAAGAGGGAAAAATAAAATCATGGGATTAGTTGTGATTTCAATAGCGGGTGAATTTGGATTAGGGTTTCTGTTTTGGTTTGTAGTGAATTTTGATTAACAGTTAACCTGGAAAGCCATTCGCATGCTAAATAAGCCAGGAGCAGAGTGTGAGTACGAGTAAGTATGCACTATATGTACAGGAAATTGATAGACTAGTGAGGAATAGATTTGCGAGATGTTAAACTAATTATGTACATGAATCTTTCAGTTATAGTATGACAGATTATACCTGATCTGGTGCGCTCTGGGGTTACACAAACACATGCGTCGACATTCACCATACAAACACATCAAACAACAAAAAGAGAAATGCAACCCAATTGTGGACACTTACGCTGATATCTGGAACTTGAGGCGGCTTTGAGGACAATCTACATTCATTTTGATTTGATTTTGATTTGAATTTTGACAATAAACACGAATGCGCAGACGTTGACAATAAGATGGTTTAACAGACAGTTTTTGGGCGATCGTATTCCTGCTTCCAGCTGTGTTGCTTGGTGCTTTGACTGTGGTGCTGTGGTGTCAAGTGTCGATTGCTCTTGTCGTTTGCACGCGATACATTGTATACGTAGTATAGTTATAGACAGCGAGATAGCGGGATAGATAGGTGAAGTGTAGAAAGATAGAGAGCATTTTCTTAGCCTAAAGATGAGCAACATTGATGATGGTTTCATATACAAATATATCAATTTGATTTAACGAGTGTTTTGGCGATTGATTGATTGTTTGATGGATGTGTGATGTATAGCGTTTTTGGGGCCTTCATTCTACTGCAGCTCTTCACCTGCTCCACCGCCGCCAGAGCCTTCGGAGAGCTCACGTCCGTGCTTGCTGAGCCACTCAATGATCACACCATTGGACCAGCCGAATCCTGTCTGGACTCCATATTCACCGCCACCGCCATGGCCGCCAAACTCCTCAGCATTGTACTGCAGAACACAGGAAGATTTTTAGTATTCTCAGAAAACTCTCGAGTGGATCTCACTTACCTTCTCGTACATGTGGAAGTTGTCGGTGTAGGCCTTGAAGTTCGACTTGACCCAGCGAAGGGCCCACTTCTTGGAGAGCTCCTTGGCTGCGGGTGTGTTCAGATTGGCCAGTCCCTCGACGACGATGTACTGCATAGGCGCCCACACATTGGGGAAGTCCCACTGCTCGCCGGTATGGTAGAGTGTATTGGGCACTCCGCCCGGGAATGTGTCCAGTTTGTTCTTCTCAATGTAGCTCAGCACCGAGGCCGAGATCTTCTCCGTATCGGAGATGTTGTACGCCTTCACAAAGAGCGGCGCGAGGTTGGTGGACACAAAGTAGTCGCGTGGCTTCTCATTGATCATGTCGTAGTCCAGCCAACAGCCAGCCTCCTCATTCCACAGTACATCCTGGATGCCCTGCAGAAGTGTCTGGGCCTTCTTCTCGTACTCCGTCATCTTGTCCACGTTGCCGGCCTTTGCGTGGAATTCGGCTATCAGCTTGGCGTTCCAGTAGAGGAAGGAATTCAGGTCGACGGGCACAATGGAGCGTGTCCTCAGGTTGCTGAGATTTCCGACATTTGTGCCGTTCTCATTGATGAACCAACGCGAGCTGAAGTCCATGCCAGACTCGGCGGCAGACTTGAGTTCGCTGTAGTGATCCTCCTTGGCCTCGGGCGTGTCAAAGTTCTCTGCTGTCTCCACATCCTCGCGATAGGACTCGGGCCGCGGACCGGTCGACGAGTCGCGGTAGACGGCCAAATTGTGACCCTTTACCTGCACCGAATGATTGTTCACGAAGTACTCGAACTCGTGCTCGAGCACCTCCAGGGCATTGATGGCGAACAGATCGTCGTTGGTGAAGTCCACGTAGGACTTGACCATGCCCGTCAATAGTGGTGGCTGGGAGCGGCCCCAGTAGTAGACACGTCCTCCATTGGGAATGAAGCCGATTCTCTGCACAATGGACATGAAGTTCTCGATCATTCCACGGGCCGTGTCCTGCATCTCGCTGTGCAGCAGTCCGCGGATAATCCAGTACGAGTCCCAGTAGTAGAACTCGATGAAGCGGCCGCCCGGAATGATCACTGGATTCGGCACTGGGATGATCGAGTAGTACTCAGGATTCTTCAGCACATCGTCGTTCATCTTGCGGCCCAGATCCTTCCAGATATTGTTCAGCTCCTGGCCCCACTGCTTCAGGTCTGGATCAGTGATCTGATCAAGGAAGCTTGGATTCGCCTTCCAGTCTGTCGGTGTCCACAATTCCAGCTCCGTGCCCTTCGGACTGAAGTAATCCTGCAAAATATAACACATTCTTCACTGTGCCTGCCATCACTCGATTTTGGAGTTTCCCCAACTCACATCCACAAACTTCTGCAGATCCTCGCGACTGGGTGTCCTATTCTTGGACTCCATCAGCAGCTCAAAGTCCTCGAGGGTCTTGGCCGGCGCCTGCTTCAGTTTCATGTCCACAAATGTCTTTGAGTCCTCAAACAGTTTGGCCATTTGAATGGTCTTCAAGAGTTCGCCATAGCAGTAGATTTGACTGGAAAGAGCCAACATATTATTATTTCGAGCTATAACAATACAAAACAGATGTTTCTTTCCAGCAAATAAATAATATTTGGGCAAGACATTCCTTACAATCACATCAGATGAATGGCTTAAATTGATATTAATTTATTATATATTTTGGATGTACAAATTTCGCTTTATAATGTGGCTATCTTACGTCAGCTGTCATTAATTAGTGACGTCATTAATTAGTGCAAATAATTTGCAATTTAAACTGACATAAAAACCACTGGCTCTCGCTCTCTGGTTAACTGAACACCTGTCTAAAATATCATTGTCTAGATCGTATCGTTTAGTATCTCTATAGATCTGTTGAAGCTAATGCCCCAGCACGAGTCTGTGGCTAACACGACGTCACGTTTATGTGTCTGTCTGTCTATCAGTCTCGAGGGAAAGGAAAGCCACACAAGCATTGTAGAAAACCATGTAATGTAATTTTGCATACATTACTAGATCATATCACAGATAGAGTCCGGAAACTTACCAACTTTCAAAATTATATGTTTCCACATCCTTGGCAATGGCATTCTCATTGTCAATGCGATAGTCGATGAGGGATTTGGCCTGAGACAGCGCCCCAAGGCAACTCCATATCAGCAGGAGCAGCTGGATGGCCACTAATCCTAATCTTGTCATTTCAAACACTAGCCACTACTTGGGCTTTAACTTTAGGATATTTATTGTAGTGGGATCAAATTGTTTGTATAAGTACAGAGTGCTGCAGTTCGCTGGTTGATATATTCACTAAAACTTCTAGGGAATACAATGCATATAGTATTTATGGTGTATCCCTAAGTTCGATCTGCCACACGCGAAGCACAAGCACAACCAGCGCCAGTCAGCGCAAGAATACTTCTAACTGTTTCCAGCGTTTCCAATTTTATAAAAATACAAACAAAAAATAAACCTAAACCTCTATGGCTGCGACGAACGACGACGACCTACGACGACGACGACGACGACGACGACGAACGATCGATCCACGAACGATCGTTGGAGCAAGGTGGGAAACTGGCGGCATCGCTCGTGCCGCTTTGGGGGCGCGTTCAATCTATTTATAAAATCGTTAAAGTGCCCCCAAACCGAAACCGAAAGCGAGTACCGTATTTCAAACAGAGTATATTTTAATGCAAACTTATGTATCTATGTATCTGTCAGATGCAATTGCTGTCGCTGAACTGCTTTCCGGAATACTGTTATCTAAAGCCTTTCCCTCGGTTTAAAGGGTTTTTGGCACACTCAAATATTTTGCATACGACGAATAACTGATGCATGAATATTCATTCATGGGAGTCGAGCAGAGCCTTGAAATGTATCGTACATAAGAATATATTCATATCCATAAATGCACATCCCACAAAGTGGGATCAATTAATTAATTAATGGATTATGAAGCATAGAATAGTACACGTTTAGGTTTAGTTTTAGCATGTTACACTGTAATGTCAAGGCGTTAAAGATAAGTGACGGCCTTTTTTGGGCACTTTTAGGCCTAGTTAAAATGCAAATTAAAAGCCATTAAAGTCACTTCAATTGTTCCACTTTTATAGATAACGGACGAGAAATTTAAGTAGAGTTACCCGTTATAGGAGTAAAAGTATTTATCAGGAATCCAGAACGAGCTATAAAAATGTTAATTTCTTGACAGATTTTCCACTTAATTCAGTGCTATGTAAATACTGCCCTGCTTCCGATGTGAAGATACAAATTGGAGGAATAACCCAGTTGGTATGGGAAAAACATATACTCCCATTTGAACCCAATATTTAATATTATAAAATATATATGTGGAGTATCTTCAGCGCTATAAATAGAATGCGATCGGGCGATCAGCAGCGACACGTGTCTGGTCTGGACACACAAATAATGAAACGGAATTGCGACGTTGGTCGCTGGAACGTCACCGACGTGTCGCTCTGCTCTCTTTCTTTGTGGGTGGTTCTGGTTGTACCACTAACAAGTCTTAATTGAACTGATTTGCTGAATAAGGATTGCATTTGTGACATATAGCATATGGATTTATGTGTGTACTCGTTAAAGAAAACCAAGATCAAAATCTGTAAACTGCGTTGCAAACGTTGAAAAATCTAAAGATTCATATAACAAAGAGAAAGGTTATTCATATGTACTAAGTTGAGGACTCATCCGAACTGCAAATATTCTGATTTATCACATGTTAGAGGACTGAAAACATATCATCCACAGAATATATCCATCAAGAGTCGTTGGCTTTAGGCCACGTTAAGATTATGATGGATCGCGTCAAGATGATATAAGAGCCGCATCTATGTCTGTGGAAAACAAAAGCCAGTCAAATGGGAAACTAAAAGTGGCAGCAAACGGAACAATTGTACTTTATGGGAGTGAGAAACAGATCCCGAACAGAAACGACCCGCCAGCCACATTGTCTCGCTATGTTTCTGTGACGACAGCCGACCAGCCGACCAGCGGACCAGCGGACCAGCTGGAACGGCAAACAATTGCATCTGAATCAATGATGTTGCACGTCACATCACACAAGTTGCGCTGGCATTTCATGATTCCATTAGCGAGGCTATACAGCATTTAGCAGCTAAAATCATTCGAATCGCAGTTAGTTTGAGTGCAGATTGTAATCGCCGATTGGCATTATAGCCAATGAATCACAAACAGAAAAGATAGGAAGCTAACAAACTTCGAAAAACAAACTGGCGTACTTACACTCAGTTCTCAGTTCCGTTCCGATCGGATTCGAACAGACTTTATCAATATTTGAACGGATGTAATGGACTTTTTTCCAAGCAATAACTAAGCCACCAGCTGGATGACAAATAGATACCCCAACTCTTCTACATACGTGATGGGCGTTTACAAACATTATATAAATGTGGGCTTCCGATTCCGCATAGCATTCCATTCCGGCTTGGCATTCTATATAAATCATATAAAATGCAACAAGAGACGAGACTCGACTCCCACAGATAATTATCGAATTACTACTATTATTTTGTAGGGGTTTTTTAAGTGCGTGCAAAAAATAATAAGAGATTTTTTGAATGGAGTCCCTCACTCCCACCATTCATCTGGTTTATTATGTTTACTATTGTGTTAATACACCTTTTATGATTACCGATTGTCGTCAACGGGGCAAGTGCTAAATGAAAATGACGTCCCGACCTTTCTGAAACAGTTGCCAATTCTCGTTCAAGGAGAATATCTATAATCATTATGTGGGCCATGCCATTCACTATGATTTATTTGCTTGTCATTATAATAACTATGCTTCGCATCAATTCAGTTTCATCATATTTAACATTCAATATAATTTTTTTTAGGCGCACAAAAGACACGAAAACGCACACGAAACTTGAAAAGTAATTAAGCAGCACCCGTGCATCAGTTGAATCAACTTGTTTTTTTTTTTTTGCCGCACATTTGCCTGTATTTTGGTGCTCCCGAAACCTTGAGAGGTCATTGATGTGCCGAAATGCCGAAAGGTTGCCAAGAATTTACACAAGAAAAGCCTTGAAAAAGTCTCTTTAGAGTAATATAGGAAATAGTACATCCATTACTGGAATGACTATTGTTTTCATATCTAATGATTCTTTTCGGTTGTGGAATTTGTCCAGCAAAATGTAATGTAAACTCAACCCGATGGAAAGAGCAATTGCGGTAGCAGTCCAAGTGGATGATAAGCGATAAGCCTTTATCGATAAAAATACTCAACTTAATCTTTGATTAAAGTCATTGACGAAACTTTGTCAAGGAAACTTTTAGATCTTGAAATCAAGTGTTGGAATTGTTGGAATTTCCAGTGCAAGCCTCTCACGCTCTTCAGGTTGAGAGGAATTCCATTTAAACATTTACTAGTTCAAGTTCAGGGCAGCTGATAAACGATTTAGAAACAAATTCCTACACTTTGCGCATCCAACAAACGCATCGATGTTATAAATGTGTGTTCGGAATTTAGGAGGCAGCAGCCAGTACTCCATCCGCACACTTTCCAGTCGTTCTGGATTTGAGACTGGTAATGAATCTAGACTCTTCATTAACATATACTCGTATCGTCAGTTTCTCCATCCATTGCGTCAGCCGAAAGTGTCAAGTACCCTTGGTGGGGATCATGGATCATTGACATTTAGTATGAAACAAAATATAACACTGGTACGAGTATATCCATTTGGGATGAGATTTCTAAGCAGCGTGCTGGGGAAACTAGTATCGGTGAAAACTGTCCGCAACCACAGAGAATTGAGAATTTGATTGAAAATTATATGATAATTGGTGCGCCCGGGCTGAGAGCTTTACTCAATTACGAAATTAATTTCAATTCAACAAAAACAAAATTACAATTATTTGATTATTCTTTGGTTTCAACTGAGTTTTCACTTTGTTCGCGCATATCACACACTTTTATTATTGGCAGTCCGCTCCGATGTGTGCAAGTTTTTATAACTCGCACTTTATCTCGGCACTGTGGCACTTGATTATAATACCATATTATATTTTATATATGTATATGTTTGTATGTATGCAGGGATTATACATATGTACGAGTACTCTCGCAAACATGTATATTTCGTTCTAATCAAATTCTCTACACGACAGACAGCTCTCCAGCTCCTCCGACAGCCGATGTTAAACGTTTGAGGGCAATTGTCAGACTGCTTTTAAATGAGACATTTACATTTACTTCCAGAATCCGGACCAGACCAGAACAGAGTCACCCAAAATGGTAAGCCACAGGTTAAATAATATTCCCCAACTTTCAGCCGTTACTACAAATTGAAAATGGGTTTCGTAACCAGTGACAAGTTATTGTTAAATAATTTCAAGTGAAGCGTAAATTTGCTCATTTGCTGAGTGAGTGATTGGCGTATTATGAAAGTATTTGCAATTTCCTCTAACAACAACAACAAACAGGTGAAAAACACTCGGTACTTGTATCCGCAACTGTGGTACTACTATTCTGAACCGATTTGGTTTTGGCACTTGGCACGGCTTTAAGCTCGTAAATACTTCACTTAAATTTCCTATGGCTTTCCTCTGACAACATCATAAAATACTAAAAACTGGAACGATAAGATAGAATTTTTAAGCGACTCCAATACAGAGATGCGTGTCACGGGGAGAGGTACTATCGTTGGTAATAAATTGGTTATATGTACAATATCTGCACCAGTATTTTGATTTAGCACAAAGATAGGCCAAGAAACGTTCATTAAGAATGCTCTTTTTGGAGAGGGTAGGATCACGTAGAAACAAAATATACAACCTCTCATTCAGTTAGTTAAACTCTTGTTATTTACATTTCAACAACAGAGTATTAACACTTCGATGTACAGAGCAGAGCAATCTAAACAAATACTTTTACTAAGGTTAGCCAAGGTCAGCCGACTATTTAGTGGCAACCGCAGAGATATGCCTCCAGCAGAGTACAATGAACGCAATCGATCCGCCTTGACACTCACCTGGCTCTATGCCGAACACTCCAGCTCCCAATCGTAATCAGATTTGATTTAATCAACCCCCCTGATAACCGCTGAAGAAAGCCCCCTTTGGAGAGCAAGATTGGGATGAGAATCATCTCATCTGCGTGTTCTGAATATTATCAACTTCGAACTGAGACTGGGATTGGAGGGGGATCTGTACAACGGAGATGCCCTGGTCTCTGTCTGTCTGTCAGAGAGTCAGAGATGATAAGAAACGGGAGCTGATAGCAAGCTAACTGTTGCAGTGGCTGCATTAATAAAGTATTCTCCAAGGCGGTGCTCTATGTCAATCGATACTCCAGGAGTATTGAAGGGGCATAACCTGTTTCTCCATTTAATATGCACTGAACACACCGCCTGGCAAGAGCCAATCACAGATCAGCTGATCAGCAATCACAGACCACACGGAAAGTCCATACACTCCAATGCGAAACGTGACTAGCAGCAGCTGCTTATACAGATTAAACAATTCCCCGTAATAAGTATATGTTCTGCATACATTTATGAGCATGCGAGTGCGGGGAAACAAGAAATTTTAATATCTATCTCTATATGTATATGTATTTATAGCCGATGCAGAGAGTAAATTGCTTTTAAATTTTTTCTGGTTTGATCATAGATTAATTCGACTAATTGATTGTTAACAAGACCATGAAATAATAGTCATCCCTAGAAGTTGATATCAGAGCACCTACAACGAACCATCAAGCAACTTCACATCGATTAACACTTCGATGGTCTGTTAATGGTAATTTTGTTAACATATGAGTTGGATGTTGGTGTGTTCAAAAAGTGTATTTACTCAAAGAAATACGTCTACATTACGTATACGTTTTTACTTGCAGTTCTAGTCGAGTCCGTGAAATCTAGTGCATACTTTTTGGCGTATTAAATGTCGAGTTCACATGTAAAAAACATGCCCAATGTCAGTTATGGCGGTTAAATTGCAGTTGCTTCAACGATTAATGTTCAAGATGGGGCAGATAGTTATTTTCGATTTAAAAGAAGGCGAAATAAGGCCCTGTAAAACTCTCTAGAGCCGGAATATCAGCTGTCTCTGCCAACTTCAAAGAGTTAACTGATGTGTTCCGTTAGGTGTTGAAACTATAAACTATCATGTACTACAACAGGTATTTCTGCAACCCTATCTGTATTACTGCATTTTCCAGGGCACTATATCTTTAGTAGAATAATATGAAGGGGCTCGCCTATCAGGAGATGGGGGCTCGTTGTGCTGATAAGAATAAGTTGCCACGGCCCACTGATAAAACCTGTCCTTAGTTCAGTTCTTACAGCTCAAAGTACCCAAAGATTTCTTTCAGTGGTATTACTCACACCTGTTGCCCGTCGATAGCTTGCTGCCCGTTGCCCACTAAAATTCCAAAGGTTGCACCAACACAAGGTCGTATGTGACTTCGGGTCCGACACGTGCTTAACTTCTCGTCTAAATATTGATGTATTTCGCTTTTAAATGCATTTGCAGTGCACTCTATTGTCACGAAACAGCATGGAATAGTCGAAAGTATTCACGCTGTTTACACGTCCACTACTTCACTAATTATTGAAATACTACGAGTATGTACTCTTATTGAATACTACCGCACGAGTAATATTTACTCTCTTTTCCATATTAAGAACTCTCTTTCCCAAACAAGCGAAAAGCAAAACAAAAAGAAAACGAAAATATGAACAGTAATTACCAAACTAACTAAGTGCGAAGTATAAATACTCTACGAAAGTGGTTTTCTGTCACTATTAATATGTAATATACAAACAACCGTAGGAAATAAATGTTTGCTTGGGAAATCTCAAATATTGCTGCTGATCAAGAATATTTCGGATAAAAAATCCCCACCGCAAAAAGTTTTCTTAAATTTAGAAACTATCCGCTTATAGAGTATACAAACAAAGCATATGTCAAATTGGTTCGCCGGCTGGCACAGCGAATGTGCGTAAGAAGCGATAAAACAATAACAGAAACGAAAAACAGAATCGAGAAAAAAAACTATGGCATTGGCACAGAATCACAAAATAGCAGCAGCGTTTTAAAATAAAACTAAGAACTAAATGTATGTATCCCCATGGGATACCAATTGGTGAGACAGTGGCCAACTCCCCCGCTGGCCCGGGGGCAGCACAGGGAGGAAAGTGAAAGCACTCTTCTAGACAGCAGACAGCAGATGTCTTTCCTTGGCAATCGAATGCACAATTCTGCAGTTCTGCCAGCTTATGCAACCATACCAATCGATTCGAAAATAATCACACCAACGAAATCTACTCACCCGTTGCCGTTTATTTTGTGATTGGTGGTAGGACCCGTTTGAGCAGCCATGGTGCGGTTTGGGGAACTTTTGTCTGGAGTTGCGGCGAACAATTTGCAAATAGCCGCAGTGCTGCAAATGCCACGCACAGATCTTAATTTGGCTAAAATGTTTTTGCCTGTCTGCCTTTAGTCTTGTTTTATCACTTTTCCACCGAACTTCGATCACTTCACTGGCTCCGTTTTGCCGCTTTGCTTTGTTTAGCGTTTGCGTTTCTGGCCCACTTGTTGTTCGTCCGAGCTTTTTCCGCCACCGAATGACGATCGCGCTAACTTACGGTTTATTAAATAGTTTCGCTTCCACCTCTCGCGTGCTCAGCACACCACATTAGCATTACATATCCAAAAGGCAGAAAATTGTACTGAGAGAGCAGAGCACGTTTTGAGTGTGGTCTCACACTGTTCAACAAAGTTACAAATCTTGTTATTCGTTTATTAAAAACACCACATTTTGTTGAATACATAAACTTATTAAGCTCAAAGTCTACCGATATTTCGATTTTTATCTGTTGAGATGACTAGTTTCAGTTTTTTCAGGATGCTGAAGAATTATGCTGAAGATATCAAAGTCAGCGCTTGTATGATAGTATAAAATGCCAGCTGTTGTCGAGTGGAAGAGAAAACGAGAGAGGTGGTCTCTCATCGTGTGCGACGAGCGTCACGAGTGTGTTCCGCCGGTTCTTTTTTTTTGTACCCTCCCTTTGATATATGAATACACTTCCTTCGTTTCTTTCTGGGTTCTTTGCACGTCTGCAATCGCACTCTCTCGGCCTTCGTGGTTGATGCAATTCGCAAGAGCATTTGAAATCTGACGTGTTGACATAAAATAGCTAGAAATACCCCCTAAACAAAATGTTTAGGAACTTCACGTATGATACAAACGAACATATTGCTTACACCTTTCACAAACATAAATAGGTAATTTTCAAGGTGCCCTTGCCAATTGCTGAGTACCTAACTAACCGGTTCCAAAAATTGTGTGAGAGTATTTTGTTAAAACAATACATTTTCATCTCAAAATATCAATGACCTTCGACAATGACCTCTGGGTACAAGCATCCACGCAGCACAAGAGACAAGAAAGATAAGCAGAAAGTTATCGGAACAACTTCATTACCAAGTGCGAATTACATTATTCACAAGTTAAATATAACAATTCAAAGGGTTCCGAATCCACAGTAACTCGGAAACTTTATCAAATCAAACCGAAATTAAATGTAAGTGACGGTGAGATCTCTTCCCTCCCGTTTTTGAAGAGCTCTCAGAGAGAGAGAGAGAGAGGGAGATAATGAGAGGAAGTTAAACCCGTTTTGCGACCTTTCAGATATTCACCACAAAAGTATAAGTATATAGTATAGTCGAATGTCCAAACATAGCTTTCATATCCAAGTTTTCGTATGTATGTATTTATGCATGTATGTATGTACATTTGTATGTTTTCAAAAGTGGGGGCTCGTCAGCTACCGACGGCATCAGACGGAGAAGAGCATACGCACATGTGTACGTATAATTTTGTGTACATTTTTAGACACGTATGTATTTCATAAAAATTATTTATATTTCACTGGGCATATTTTACAACATAGTTCCTTTATTTTCAGTGTATTAAA